AGAAGCAGTCCATTTATTGCGGAGCCTCTAGCTCCGACTCGGAGCGTCTGATCCGGGCGGAGCTTGTCTTAAAGCTCTGGACCTGCGCTACAACCTGGTGGTGGTTGCAAGTTCCTGGGACGTTCCCCTGTGAAGATATAAGCAGTCAAATGTCAACGGGCGAGCTCCGGTGGGTGAAACGGCTGAATTTCAGCACGGGGCTGCTGGTGCTGATGCAGGGGAATAAAAGGAAGAGATCCAGTCAGGTGGAACCGGTCCTGGATGCTGAGCACCGGGTTTTATAGCTGCCTGTCTGCTAAAAAACCCTCGGGCGATATTTCTGCAATAATGCAAAAAAAATCAGAAACCCACCTGATGGATCTGTTCCAGGCAATAAAAGGAACAGATCTGATCAGGTGGAACCGGTACTGAAAGCTCAGCACCGGGTTTTATACCTGCAAGCAGGTGCAGCCCCTCGCGGGCGATATTTCTGCAAAAATGCCTAAAAATGTATAAAAATCACAAACCACAGTGACCTTATGCCCAAAAGGCYAGTTAGAAATACACACATTATTGATGTTATCAATATGTCACTTCTAGTGTGTGGCCCGGCCCTTTGTTTATTTTTCTGTATTTGGCCCTCACTAAAAAAAGTTTGGACACCCCTGTTATAGAAGGACCCTTGTATTTAAAGACTGTCAGTCGACTGATAAGACCAATCAACTTRAGATTAATTCATTAATTGATAACTTGCAGCATACAGGTCCTACAGGTACAACCTGAGAGCCTGGATAATCAGCTGTTAATGAAGTAAATTAATTTTTTCTCCTTGATGACCTTAATAAATACAGGATATCTCCATATTAATTAAATCTTATTATAAAACAGCCTTTCGTTATTAGATCTAACATTTTGATTTCTGTATTTTAACCTCCTTCTTTCCTTTGGTAGCATTAAGCTACAAAAGACAACCGCTAAGGAGCTAAATCCGTTAACTTCATATTAAACACAGCTAGCTACCATCGTTGTTGTTGTGGCGAAGGAACAAAGTCAAACCTGAGCTCATTTTCTCTCCAACTCGACAGTTCCTATTTCTTCAACAGATTCATCCAGGCTGTTTTGATCCGAAGCAGAAGACGAGCACGGCCGCGCGCCCCACGTCACGTGACTGTTGTGAACGCGCCTAAGATGAAAGACTGGACTTTTAATSTCGCTGTCATCATCGCATCAGACGGAACAGAGACACCGCTGAATAAACGGAGCGAGTGTCAGGTTTGTGTTTGTTTCATTCGCTGTAAGGCGTTAACTATCTGTGGCTTTTTATTAACGTATATTATCAAAAACCTGTAAACCATCTTCTTTGTTTTTAGCTTAGCATGCTAATCAAGCGGCCGACTTCATACTGAAATAAGGAGATCAAGAGGCGAGAGCCTGTTTATATATTTCAGTAACGATTAGGTTGGAGACGTTATACCCATATTAATGTTATCAATGGATTTATACATTCAGTAGACAAGTCACGCAGGCTGAAGTGTTCTGTTTGTTGCGGAGGCCGCAGTTGAATCCAGATACGTCATAACGACGCGACAAAGTTCGTCCCAGATGGGAGTAAACACTGAAATGTATTGTCTTTCTCCTAGTTAAGCGTACAATTTCGAGATAGTATGAAAGTATAAGTTGGTTGTAATAAAAAATGTGAATAAAGGCAGAATTGCTGAATTAGAGAAACACTAGACTGGACACTGACAGAGCTAGGTGAGCTGTTTGGCTGCCATKTTTAAAGGACCTTTATGTGTCATTCTGTTCTGTTTAAATGTGCAAGCAGTTCTAATAGTTGTTCAAAAATTTTTAAAAATTACAAGAGTTCCACCAGACTTGAAAATTTAAAATGCTAGTTTCTTTATAGTATTCTCTCCAACATTTATAATACCCACATCAGGTCACTGTTTTGAAACATTTTAGATATTTTTGATGATAAACAGATATTTGTTTGTCTCTTAGTGAATAAAATGATGTTTGTTBACTTGGACCAGTTCTGATCCACAGAACATGAAGCAACAACACAAGTGATGTKTGAGTGAATATAAAGTTGTYTTTCTCCATATTGTCTGTGTTTCAGTGTTCCCCGCAGATGTTCAGCAGACTCTGCTGATTAGAGTCCATGCTCCTGAGGGAGGAAGGCCCAATATGGACCAGCAGGACCCACAGCCCCTCCACATAAAGGAGGAACAGGAGGAACTCTGGACCAGATTGGAGGGAGAGCAGCTCAGTGTGAAGGAGGAGACTGATGCTACAGAGTTCTCATTCACTGCAGTTACTGTGAAGAGTGAGGATGATGAAGAGAAGCCTCTGTTCTCTCAGCTTCATCAGCACCAAATGGACCACAGAGATGTTCCAACCAGCAGCTCAGCTGACCAGATGAAAGTAGAAGCTGATGGAGAGGACTGTGGAGGAGCAGAAACCAGCAGGAACCCAGATCTGAATCCTCATGGAGATGTTTCCAGCTCTTCAGAGACTGAAGTCAGTGAGGATTATGAAGAGGAGGAGGATGGGAACAGTCCTGATTCTCAGCTGGAACCCTTGTCAGACTCAACAGTACAACATTCAAACAATTTGAGTCATAAGAAAAGTGTCAGAGAGAAGAAACCCATGGAGTCACACAGAGGAGTCCAGACACAACCCAAATCATTTAGTTGTGACGAATGTGGTGAAATATTTACCAGAAAAACAAGTTTAAACTCACACAGGATAGTCCACACAGGAGAAAAACCGTTTCAGTGTGAGCTGTGTGGTCAAAGATTTAGCCGCAAGTCTAATTTATATGCACACGTGAGGGTCCACATGGGACAGAAACCATTTGAATGCAAGCTATGTGGTCAGAGATTTACCCGGAAATCTATTTTTAATTCGCACATGAGAGTCCACACAGGTGAGAAACCATTTGAATGTCAGTACTGTGGACAATGTTTTAGCTGGAAGCCTCATTTAAACTCACACATGAGAGTCCACACTGGACAGAAACCGTATGAGTGTGAGTTTTGTGAAAAAAGGTTTAGCCAAAAGGCTAGTTTACACTCGCACATAAGGGTCCACACGGGAGAGAAACCCTTTGAATGTGAGCGTTGTGGACAACGATTTAGCTACAAGACAAGTTTAATCACACACATGAGAGTCCACACTGGACAGAAACCATTTGAGTGCGAGTTTTGTGGACAAAGATTCAGCCAGAAGACTAATTTAAACAACCACAAGATAATTCACACGGGAGAGAAATTATTTGAGTGTGAGGACTGTGGGCAGAAATTTAACCGTAAAACTAATTTGAACAGCCACAAGGTTGTCCACACTGGTGAAAAACTATTTGTGTGTGAGGACTGTGGAGAAAGATTTAGCAGGAAGAACAGTTTAAACAGACACACAAAAGCTCACAGGAAYCAAAACTCTTCTTCGCAGTGACTGAGGTCAAAGTTTTAGACTTCAGTCTGCTCAGAAACACTTTTGAACCCACACAAGAGGGAAACATTAACTGAATATTAAGATGAGTCTTAAAGACAGTTCTGGAAAAGTTATCAGAATTTATTTGATGGTTTATAACAAGTAAGGCAATTTTAGATTTTATATCTTATCAAAAAACTTATGGAAAGTCTGTCTTGTGTAGACCTAAACATATATTAAAATTTTAAAGAAGGCTTTTTATTYGCATCCTTGATTATGAAGTGTTTGAAACATAAAAATGTTTTATTGTTTGTCAATTATAAAATCATTAAAATGTTTTTTAGCAATTTATTTATTTATTTTTACTTTTTTCCCTGCTTATTTGGCATAAATATTATGAAATTCAACTTAGGCTGTTTGGTCTTGGAGGTCAAGTGTGGTTTTAAGSATTAGAAGTTCATAATTTATCGATCTGATTTGATCTGGTGTCTTCTCTTGAAGAGGTTAAAGGATAGCAGAGTGTGGAAAAAGCATCACCCTTGATTTCCTCACATCTTCTACATGTGATAGTAACTATTAGTGTGCATAAGGTTCTCTGACCAAACTATTCACCAGGTTTCAAGACAATAAATTCTTGATATT